AAAAAAGGAGAGAAAACACATGATGATTTGAATGTTAACAGACAGGCGAGGTTACAGAGCGGGGTCAGATCGCTGTGAACATTTATTTTAACCTGCTTGGATTAGCAGCAGGTCTGCTGAGGTTTACACCATGAAACAACTCAAACAATGTCAGCCCGGAGAGCCAGAAAGAAAAAGGTTCAACAAACTGACATCAGTGATCGTTTAATAGCCCTGGCTCTCTCTGTATTGTTCTATGTGGTAAATCCCACCCATCTCAGCCAGCCAACACAAATCATAAAAATTATCCTCAAATTATTTGGCTCAGATTCTGGGTCTCTGGTGGGAAAAGGGGAAAGGAGGGATGGAAAAAAAAAAAAAAACGGCTCTTCACCTCCTCTGCTGGGGGAGCTGAAGAGTCATAGAGGAGAAGATCCGTTTTACTGGATATCTGTCATCCATTAAAAATGAATGGAAAGCAGATGACCTGAGGATGAATCACCATGATACCTGCCCACACACCCACACACACACCCACAAAGGTCTAATTACATAACTTTCTCTCACCGCTGGGTCTCTGTGTAACCGGCCACTGTGCCAGACCAGATTCACACATTTACACACTTAAATACACTATAACATTTACCTACACACACTTAAATAGGGGGAATAGCTGATAAAGACATAGCTTATACAAATATACAGAAATAACTGAAAAAGACACACATTCAGATGAGGTGAGGTAGTGATGAGAAATGGAATAACGATTAAAGAAACGCCTCAAAGCTGCAGAGGATACTCAGCCAAGGATAGACTGTCAGAGAGGAGGAAACGTGCGCTGTCACCGGGACAAAAAAGAATCCTCCATCCACCGTCTCTTCCTCCAAGAAAAATAGAAACACAAAAACAGCGAGAGAGAAAGAGAGAGAGAGAGAGGAAGAGAAGGGCAGAAAGGGAGGGGAGGAGAGAAATAAGACAAAAAGAGATTAATAAAATGAAAGATCACAGAGGAACGTGTGTGAAATGGACAGTTTGTGTTCAGCCTGGGGGTCAAAGCCTGAGAGATGATAGCGCCCTCCCTGAAGGTGATGATGATGCTAGGTGCTGATTAGAGGTGAAGAGGCCGTTGTAATGGAGACAGGGCCACAGTGGTCTTCTGTTAATGTGGAAACTTACATTGTTATGAGAACAGTTTGTCCTCTGATGTCATCCTGCTGCAATTCAGGGCCGAGACACAAACACACACACACACACACACACACACACACTGACAATGAAGACCGAAACACTCTGAAGCATGACACACAGGCGTCAAAAAGTATTAAAAAAATTCACAACAAGGATAAAAAAAACAAACATTTCAGCACCAATACACACTTGAGACCATACAGATACACACTGTAACATGCAAAGATTTTAAGGATGATCCATTACAAACAAAAGCTCCTTCTTCATTTGCTCATGTAGGACTGAATTGTCATGCCTTGTTCATAATGTTAAGTTGTTCTACTGTTAAACTAGCATCAGAGGTAGGGACATAGGTTCAACAACAACACTGTAAACCATCAATATAATATCTGTGCAACACTTTTATGATAGATAATTAAGACAGAGAGGGTAAATGCTAATAGCCTGTGTGTGCACTCATACCCTGGCCACCCTTATATCACTAATCTAGTTGTGGCTCCCCAAGTCAAAAAGTCTGGACCCAACCCACCATGCGTATCAGCATGGAGGAAACAGGGAGATCTGGTGCTGTCAGGCTGTAAAGTTTGCTCAACAAAAGCTGCAGGGAAACATTTCTCCGCTGATTTTAAAAAGATGAGAGGAAACTTTGCCAAACTTCAACAAAAAGTTGATTCCCATACTGGCTGGAAGAGAGTTCATGGTCAGCCAGAGGATGATATGAGGGGGTAAAACCACGTGCAGCACCTACAGGCATTTGTCTCCCACAAGTTGACCAGGATGATTTTCACTATTCTGAGACTGTATATGGGGAAATAAACAACAGAATAGCAATAAAAAAGAAAAATTCTATGACTCACAGGATATTTATTAAATGAAATAAAATGAGCATTTTAAAAACATATAAAACTCAGTGAAACCCTACATGTCCAGAAACTCTGCTGACAAGGCATCTCTTTGTCCCTCTCCATCACGGTGCAGCAGGTTAGCAATGATACACTGTCTCTGAGTGCTTGATCATGTGAATAATTAAATGAATTACCTTAAAAATGTAAATAGTTATAGTTTTCATTATGGAGATTTGATTAATGGACCTGCAGGCCTCTCCTACGTACATAGGGTATATTGTATCCGCTTGCACTCACATAGATTTATAGCTCCAGTCTTGGAGGCTTGAGATGTTATTTGTTCCCACCACTCAATCTCAAGGAGCAGCTGCTCACAGAGTTAACAATAATCCTGCAAGGGACTGTCAGTCACTTCTGCCTCAAGAACTTTCAAAAGTTCCTGAGAGCTGTGGATTTATGAGAGGACTCATTTTATCTGAGTGTACCAGCAGAGGACCAGTCTCACACAGCGATCAAAGTATGAACTCAGCGTATTGAGTTAGAAGTGTTTCATCACAGTGAACTGGAGTTATATGACTCTTCAAATAGCAGAGGTTTCTAAACTTTCCAGACCATCTATCAGGAATAGTTGCAGTTCCTATAAGTTTTGCTGTCAAATCAGATGTAATTCGGTCCAGTCTGGTTTTTCCATTAACTTACACCTTAGTTTATGAGATAAGATAAGATGAGATGTTCCCTTAATAGAGGAAATTCAAAATTTACAGCAATAACAGACATACAAAGAGAAATTAAAGGATAAAGAAACTCAGAGTTAAGTTAGGAAAAAAGAAAGAGATATGTACATGAGTCACATTTACACGTGTACAGAATATACATAGTATGGTTTATTGCACGCTGAGATTTCTGTTGTGGAGACTGACAGCAGCAGGAACGAATGACCTGGGATACCTCTCCATCACACATTTCAGGTGGAGCATCCTGTCCCATAAGGAGCTCTGCAAAGACCGAATTGTTGACTATATAACCCTGGAAATATTATGTTGTTTTTACAAATCAATTACTTTTGTTTAATTATGTTGTTTTGAAATCAGAACTTTGTCAGAGCTTGTTTATGTCTTTTTTAGTGAACCTAAAGGGGTCAGACTCACCCTGTCATGATCTGAAACAGCATAACCTCCTGCTCACTTGACATTATCTCATTCTCCTAACACTAGCACAGCCTGTCAGTCTGCTGGTTTAATCTTTAGTTTCTGAGTATGTAAGTGTGGTTCTGATGAGTAGCCGTCAGGTGTGTTTGATCGTCTCTGCTTAATGAGTGCCCTCAGGCTGCTGCTGTAAAAACCGACTCAAAGGGATGAATCCTGCCCTCCAGTCAGAAAATCTAATGAACAATACACCTCAGCTCTGCAAAATATGAAGTCCAGAATGTCTACAAAAATCATTTACTCCTTTAAAAAATAAGGGAAACAACAGAGTGAAACTTCCAATCACATGATCTATATGTGTAATTATCTTCAGATCATGACTCACACTCAGTGACTCATGATCCAAAATAAAGCTGCTCTGATTGTTTGCAGATCAAACAGTCTGGTTAAACAGGAACAGATCCAGTCATGTGCTCATAATCCTGCAGGGAGCAGGTCTGGTCCTGTTAGCTTCACCTGCAGCTCTGCTCACAACTAGAAAACAACACTCAAATTAACCCTTTGTTTAAGTGGACTGAAGAAAATGTCTCAGTCCTCTTTGGTCTCAACTAGATTATCAGATCATATAAGGTGCCGGTGAACTAGCCTGTTAACACGATCAGTATGGAATGAAAACTCTTAGCAGACACTTACATCTGTACTCTGGTGAGAGAGTTGGATCTGATAGTTTTGATCGCTCTGCTTTCTAAATGAGGTAAATTTGCCAATTTGAGCAACCATTGAGTCTTACTGCATCAAGGTTTCTCATCAAAGTCATCCAACCTCAGCACGGCTGCCTCAGGGAGACTTGTGATGAATGTTTGTCAGTCAGTCAAACACTGGTCCAGTTTTGGTGTTGGACCTCAGCCTGCTCTAATTCCCAAGTTATTAAATTGTCAAATTTTCTCACACTCTCCGTGCCTCATACACAAAATCTCAACTGGTTTTTGGCATCGGCATGAGACACACTGGGCTTTCAACTAACTCCACAAAACGAAAAGCATCTGCAGTGGTATTAGATGCTCAGGGAAACCTCCCCGACTGAGGAAACAGTAAGACTTTAGCAGTCCACTTGATGTGGTGGTTAGGAATGATCCTGATATCAAGCATCCCAGATAAGACCTGAGCTGGAGTCCATTTCGATTCTGGATGTCCAACTCTAAGCAGATAGAGGTTTCATGTTTGAAACATCTCAAAAATAAAAAAGACAGAGGCTACCTTATAACTGATTGACTGCGCATGTGTTGGTGTTCTGTTTGAAAAACCTCCCGGCTGCTCTATCACACGGTTTTAGCTGTTTTTAACCAGTTTTAAGTAGCTATTTTTTTCCAAACTTTTAGATACTTTTAATTTTTACGTATCTCTTCGTGTCTGGGAGAACTTTTTGTTGTTTTGGCTCACTTGATCCTATATTTTAGGACAATCAAACATTGAACACTCAAGGGGCCATGGTTCAACTCACCTTATCGCCTGGCTGTCAGAGCTGTGCCGATTTTAAGAGGAAAATCTGTGAGTTGAAGCAAAGAATCTCAACACTTTATAAGATCAAGGACGCCAAAAAGTACTTGGATACAGTCATCCTAGGCCTGGCACCAGCTTCCTCAAGGGTACTCTGAAAGATTTATGAGGTTACCAGAAAGATATGAGAAGTACTCTTGTAACAGGTACCTAAATCTTGAAATATACACTCAATAGTACCTTCAAACAGGATTGAAGAGAGCAGCCTATAAGAGAGCAACCCTACAGCAGATGCTTAAAGTGTTTAGGGTATGATAAAAAGAGTACTTAAATACTCGGGGCGGCAGTAGCTCAGGAGGTAGAGCGGTCATCCAATAACCGGAAGGTTGGCGGTTCGATTCCCCCCTAATCCAAGTCTGTCCGTTGTGTCCTTGGGCAAGACACTTAACCCACCTTGCTCCCAGTGTGTGTCCTCCACTGGTGTATGATTGTGAGTGTTGTGTGGTGGTGGTCGGAGAGGCCGTAGGCGCAGAATGGCAGCCACGTTTCCGTCAGTCTGCCCCAGGGCAGCTGTGACTACTAAGGTAGTTTACCACCACCAAAAAAAAGTGTGACTGTGTGAGCGAATGAATGATGTATCCAATGTAAAGCGCTTTGAGGGTCTCTGATAAAGCGCTATATGAAATCTGATGCATTATTAAATAAGTGTGATAGACAAAGAACACCATGGACACAAAGCTTGTGTTGGTTATTAACAATTAACAGCCTACAATTAATGCTGTCAGAGCTCATAAATCACTCATGACTTCAACTACACATCAGTCTATATACCCAATTTTTAGAGGTAGAAGAGGCAGTAACGCACCCTGACACCGTTTGCCACCCATTGAGTGAGCAGAAGTCCCTTTGCGCTCAATGGTTCCATGCATTCAGGACCTTCACAATCCATGAAAACGTATTGTTTGATGGCCCCAGTTTAAACACATTAGACTTTCATCTAAGCTTTTATTTAATTTTACAAACTGCTTAATGAGGATATGTTACTAATCAGTTCATAGTTTTGGTCCATATTTGACCTTCTTTCTTCAGGAGACAGCAGATCTTTAGCAACTCAGACCCTAACTTTTTCATTCAGTGTTTCTAACAGTCAAATGAACTTAAACTTTCAGATGTGTCTGTGCTGGTTACTGACTGAGAGTCTGAGACACGAACAGGCCTGTGGTTATTGTAATGGGGATGATTCACTTTCCCACAATAATACCCTCTGCTGTGATTGGCTGAAATCAATCAAACCTCAACCACATCACTCAGTCACACTCACATTACGAAACTTTTATGTGAAGTAAACCAGGACAAGTTTCATGTATAATCTGTGACAGTAAACACAAACATGTCTAAGTTTGAAGTAAAGGTCAGAGTTCATGTGTTCTGCCAATTAGGACATGAGCACATCCTGTCACCTGCACATGACAGTGACGAAAAACAAGTGTAGATCATCTTTGAGAAGTTCATGGTTTCTGTTTTCTATCATCCAGCAGCTTTTACAAGATTTGACAACACATTTCTACCAATCATTCTGCTACTTTCTCTATTTCATCTTCATTTTTCAACATAATATTTGCAGAAACAAGTGAGCTCCTACCCTGACAGAAAACTATGTGGCTATTCGTTGGTCAACCATGTTGTATGTTTAACTGTGTGAAATATCAGGTTAGTCTGTGTTCGGTCTCCTGTCTGCATCTCATTCTCTCAATCACATTATTGTTCTACATACAGCAGGAAGAGGCTGAATCACAGCAACGTCAGCAGCCTGAGAATGACCCCATGAAACCTGGATGTGAGGAGGCGTGTAGGATCGAGAGAAATGATCAGTGTGAACTTCTGGTTTTTGTTTTGATTCTGAAAGTGAAAATTTTTGGTCTATCTTTGATGTAAAAACCTGCTGAGGTCAGGGTGCCCGAGCTGATCTGGTTTCCTCCCCCGCTGTGAAGTCTTTCATGCCTTTGTGGAAGTGACTCTCTGAAACACAATGTAACAAATGGGAAAACAAACTGCACGTCCTCAGCACAGAGCTGTACTCAGGAGAGCACGCTGCACCGTACAGCTCAGTTTGGGGGCGAAGAAAAGTCAGAAATCTTGGTCTGTCAGAGTGTTTACCAACATCTTTACAAAGTCCATTCCTCACATTTAAATGTCTCAAGAAAGTATTCAGACCTTTTTGGACAACATGTGTAAAGGCTAAAGGCTAAAGGCTTCTTTTCTTGATAAAGTAGACGCTACTGCAGTCTCTTCTGGCAGCGACACGGTTAATAAGGCCTGATATCACACAATTTTTTATTATTTTTTTTCACACGACACAGGCAGACTACTTTATTATAGGGTTTTGCTCTGCTTGCCAGGTTCTGCACACAGGGGTTAAGTATAATTTACAGTGAGTCGATTGTTATAGCAGAATTACCCCTACAAGGTGAGTAAGAACCTACTAAATAGAGGAACACAATACAAGATAATTGGGCCAATTTTGGGCCCCATTACGCCCTCTCACAGAAACTGGTTTCCCAGCTTGGTTCCTGAACGTTTATTGCGTGTTGTTAAAGAGGAGGTGATGCAACGCAGCAGTAAACATGACCCTGTTATACCTTTTTTGCTGGCATCAAATTTAAAGTTAGCCCTTATTTTTCATTTAAAAAATGACATTTTTCAGTTTCATCATTTCATACTTTTGTCGTTGTATTATGATTATTAAAGCTCCTGTGAGAAGTTTTATAAGGGTTACAAAACAGACTGAAATGAAAAGTAATGTGTCACTGTGATGTACAAAAACAAATAAGACCATGTATGAAAACAATGTCAATTTTTATATTGATATTTTAAACAGATAACTTTTGTGATGGGGTAGATATGCCAAAGAAAATTTAAAAAAACAGGAATTAAGTTAATTTTCCTTGGGTCAATATTTATGATGAGTGATCAATTTCTCTATAAAAAGACAACAGGTGGAGATTGTTTTTTTTAGATTAAATCAGCAACAGTACAAGGGTTACCACATTGTGAACATGGGAGCCAAAGTTGGCACAGACACAGAGGTCCTCATTTCAGTTTTGAATATGGGTTTGAATGATTTAGGAACCATCAAATTCTGGTTTCAGTAACATTGTAGTCAGTGTCCCACCATTTTGCAATGAGGATCATAATTTCCCTGATCTGCCCCGAAAACTGTTTTGGCACACTGATCTGAAAATGATATTTATCATTAGGTATAGCATTGTATGAGGAGAATCCTGAAGACAGATGAGCATATGGTCTGATCAAAATATCAGTGGATATAAGAATGTTATGATGAACCAATTCAAGTCAAGTGTTTAACACAGACATGTATCAATTGACATTAGTTCAAGCACAGAAGACAGCAACACCACCTCTATAATAACTCAGCAGCATCATCAGACAGCTGGGGTCACAAGCTAAGGATTTTCTGCATTCAATACTAAATGAATAGTTTTTTTTATCCATACTAAACTATGAAAACCTGCCATCCTATGATGACTAAAGGCCCGGCTCCATCCACTATGGCAGCTTGTTGGTGAAGGTTAGTAAAACACAACTGGATGTTTGTTTCCATGTCTGATTTCCTGTCTTCCTCAATCTGTCCTGTTGATTGATTGATTCAACATCTGACCAAATAGAAGTTGAACATACGCGCTGAGGAGGACTTTGGTTGTCAGAGCTGAGACTGAGCAGAAACGCAACCCATGGACCAGAGTCAAACCTATCTTCTCTGTCGACGGGTAATCGCATCCCATCCAAGGTTAAGAAGCAAAAAAGTTCCATCACCTTAAGCCAAGGGGTTTATTGGGCAATGGGTTGGTTTAATTTATGAACCACCCTGAGCACAGCAGATACAGCTGTTCAAAGCACAGCTATCTAATAGATTAAACACAAACAGCCTGCAGCCTCTCTGTAAACAGGCATGCCTAAACCATGTTTGTGAGCAGGTTTTGATTTTGTTGAAGATGACATCTCCCCTCTGACTCAGGTCCGGGCTTGATGTCTCCTCTTAGCAGAGCACGAGTCTTTGACGTAACTGTGGTTAGTCTTGACACCAAGGGTTTGTGTTAGCATGCTCGTCTGGTCTAATCTAAACAATGAAAATGCTCATCTGGAATCAGGAGATGACGACAATCACAGAAGGTCACAGGACTCTCATCCTCATGAGATATTGCTGGAGAATTACTGCTTAACGATTGCCTCAAAATTGAAACCCAATGAGCTCTGACCAAAATTCAAAGAAGATCTTAATGAGGGTCATTTGGGGCTCTGTGTGTTAGGAAGGTTTAGAGACATTGATAAGAAAATAGTTTCTAACATTTCTTAATTCGAAGTTTCTTGAAAATCATTTACACATTTCAATGAAATCTGGTTTCAACAACGATGTAATCCGCAATTTCTAATGGATATTGAAAAAACTTGGGCAGAGTTTTATACTGAATATCTGTTCGATGGAAAAATGCAAATTGGGAGGATGCAAAAGATCATCTGTTTCTTTTGTTTAACAACTTATTACAAGGTGTTTGAATCCTATAGCTAGCTCAAATAAGTCAAATTGACAATGTTAAATTTAAATTTATTGGACCCTTTTGACCAAACTTAGTAAACACAACAAAGATGCAAAGATCTGCTCGACATAGGGAATCAACAAGAAAAGTGCCGTGAAGTGCTCATTGGGAGCACCATCCATGTACACAGAAGCTGTTCTTGTTCCAGTCTTGCAAGTAAGAAGTAAAGTTATTTAATGTGAGCAGTGACTGGAGACAGAGAGATGAACAGTGTAGTGGAATGTCCTGTTTTGCAGAGGTTTAAATGTTCTGCAAGGAGGCCTGACAGTAAGGAGCTGCAGTAGTAAATGCAGGATAGAAGAAGTTATGTTGCATGTTCTTTCAAGTAGGGTCCTCCTGGTGTTATAAAGGTGACACAAACACATGATTCTTGAAGGTTGGCTGATCATTACCAAGCCGTACATTGGTCTGTGGTTGTATGTGGGGGACGGCTGGAATGACAAAAAGCTCAGTTTTGAGTCGAAGATGGCGTTCCTTTCAGAAGTACAATTTTGGTGGGAATGATAGGAAGAGCTGGGTATCATCAGCATAATTGTGATTTGAGAAACAATGAAAGGGAATACTTGCACCAAATGAGATGATGTATGTAGAGAGCATGTAAAGAACAAGCACTGAGCCCTGAGGCAACCTTTTTGATGAGTACATGTTTGGACACTGCACTTTAAAATGTACTTTAATCTCTTTGGGAGGTAGGACATGAACCACTAAAGGGCAGATCCTGAGATGAGATGTCCAGTGAGTGTGGAGAGAAGGCTTTGATGGTTCACTACATTAAAGGTAGCAGACAGATCCAGCAGGGAAAAGGGCTGGGGGAAAGGTTTCACTTTTTTGGAGGAAAAATATCTGAGTAGGCACAAGTTGAGGAAACAGTAATTTTTGATATGAGAAAAGGAGCAACTCCTTATAGTGCAGGTTGAACAGAAGCAGAGATAAACAGAGTGAGATGGCTGAGCTCAAGTTCAAAGTGTGAAAAGACCCAGCACATGCCACCATGACAGGTCTGTTTCTGTGAGAAAGAGGAGAAGTCCTGTGATCACCTGCTAGGGAGGTGGGGGTCGACCTGCTGCTACAAGAGTGCTGA